ATGTTCCGACCAGAATCCGTCTTGTATCTTAGTCTCCACCACAGCCACACGTTCCAGAAGTGACTGACTCTTCTCTCTCCAGTACACCAACTCCTTCTCCACCGAGGCAAGCCGCTCTCGCAGGGAGGCGACGTCGTCTTGCCGAACCTGGCCTCCGCTGTGCAGGAAGCTCACGAGCAGGACGGCCACGGTTACCGCCAAGCTGCACACGGCCAGCCCCGCCGACAGGGACAGCCGCTCGCTCCTGTGCTCGTGCGCCATTTTTCTGATGCGTACTTTCGAATTCTCTTCACTCATTTGCTCGGCTAGACCTTCTGACAGGCAATCTTAGAGATATCAAATCAAACGGGAAACGGGCACTTGCGTCTGCAATAGCGACCGCTGAATTTTACTTCCTTCTGAGACTGGAATATTTTACTTCCGCCAGCTGCGACTTAGGTTTGTTCTAGTCGTCAAACCACTTACGATGCCCACCTATCAAATGTTCTCACGATCACCGAAGTGAACCTATGTATTGTTCTGGATAACTTTTTGGTTCAGCGGACACTCACTTTATAAAACCTCTGTGGTACGTGGTTTTCTCTTCACTCATGGACTCGACTGGACCTTCGGACAGGCAATCTTCAGAGATATAAAATTAAACGGGAAATGACAGAGGTACCTGCGTCTGCAGTACCGACGACCGAAGTTTGCTTCGTTTTGAAACTGGAATATTTTACTTCCTCCTGCTACTTGGGTTTTTCAGCTGTCACCGTGACAATAGACTTATGACGTTCCCCACCTATCCAATGTTCTCACCTGCTGTCTAAGTAAACACATCTATTGTTCGATCTGGATAAAAGCTTGGTTTGAAGGAGGGAACACAGGACAATGCCAATTCGCAAGTGGATAACGCTCCATATAAAAGTGCTTAGTGTAGCCTCAAAGAAAAAAGAAGAATTTAGCAAGTAAAATGCCCCCCCCCCGTTTAAACGCAGTGGAATAGTCCATACATCAGACGGTCAAACAACCACCTGCAAACAACAGTAATAACAGACACGCCATGTTTTCATTCAATGACTTTACTACTAGTGGCTACGGAGTCAACTCAGGAGTACGTACAGTAAAGGAATTAACGGAAACTTTCAAATTACATCCACTGATTTGGCACACATCAGATATAACAGAGCACATGCAGCTGCAGATGTCTTACTGAGGAATGATTGCAGTGTAAAGTAGGTCAATCAGCTAAAGAGTTATCCCACTCTACTCATTACGCTTCCCTTTTGTTCTGCTTTACTCCATCTATGGTATACTGAGACATTTGTACATCCTCTCCTATTCAAATCCTACCTTTTACTCATCTTTAGGCCTTCTAACAATGTTACATGACATATCCCATAACGCATACCATAATGATAAGAAACGTTTGAATGCAAGTCATTTCTTGCACCAACAAGGCACAACGGAACATTACATAAAGTTTCCTGAAGATGATTTGTTCAAGCCAGCTGATTTTCACACACTATTGTCACAGAGAAATAATAGACTAGTAATCTGACTTCCTCGGCAATCATTTTAGCGGTAAAAGAAGAGAACTGCTGACTCCAGTTCCAGCCTGCTGCTGCTCCAGCCGGTGTGGGTTCCGTATCCATCCCAGGCCTTGGACGAGAAGTCTCCACACTGCCGAGGGGCTGCTTCTTCCCAGTACGCCGCACCGCCGATGCAGACAGCTTCTGAATCACCACCGTTGTACCTCACTCCTGGGCACACAGCGAGGGGAGCGCGTTCATTGTTGAACACACGAAACTGCACAAACCCTGGGGTCACCTCTGAAACAGCAATAAGTGGCACTAAGAAACTAATGTTGCGAATGTCTATTCGCGAGACTGTCTGACCTGATTACTAGACGACTCCTCAACAATACGGAATCCGTCGGGTCGTCCATGAATAGTCCATAAAATGCATTTCGTGTCATGGAGAAGACTAACAAGACTGGCAATGAAAAACATACATTGCCATGGCGACGGTGGTTGCTGTTAGGGTTATTGTTTGCATGGCACTGCCATGACACTGCCATGATGGTACCTGTTAAGTCTAGACAGATACAGTGCACTCCTCCCCTGAGTGTATAGTGAACGAGCCCCGGGGTCACAGAAAGCAGGGCCATAGGGCAGACAGATCTTCCCAAGGGTTTCTAGGAATGTGGGCATAGATGTGGGTCAGAGAAATGCCTGTGGACATTCCGCATGCCTGTGGACAAAATGCTAACCATTCACTGGGTACGGCATGTGGGGAATGTGGCTAGAATGTGGGACATACACTTGACATACAATTCCTACCTAGTGAAATTCCAGGAAACCCTTGGGACATTGTGGAAATTGTACAGATTGACAAGACTCTCATGATGTTCATGAAGTCGGTACAGATTCACAAGACTAAAAATTCTTGTGAATCTGTACCGACAGTCTTCTGAGCTCTGCTGCATTTAAACAGGTACTATTATTATGATATCTTTCTCTTCTATTATAATAATTGAGAAGTTTATTGCAAATTCATGCCCAGAGGCTAATTGTCAGTTACAAACATAAAAGGACATTGCAGAACAGTATATAATATAACTAAAATCTACATGATGAAAGGTAGTTGTCTAAAATTGTAGCTATGTCTAAAACTATGTCTGAAGGGTTTGACTTCCCTTTTGAAAACTGTAGAAGCTTCGAAGACATCATCAGTGCATATCTGTAAGTCTCCTTCTCAGCATTTCCCCAACATGTTCAGATTCACAACGTGATCGACTTTACTCACAGAAGTAATTCTAAAATGTCTTTAGAGGTTGTAGCTTATTCACCTGGAAGGCATGTGGGAAAGGAATGTGAGCAAAAATGTAGGGCTTCCACTTGGAAGGCTTGAAGACTTCCACTTGGAAGGAATGTTGTAAGGCATGTGCGAATGCATGGAAGCAAGAATGTAAAACTTCCACTTGGAAGGCATGTGGGAATGGCAAGAATGTAAAACATCCACTTGGAAGACATGTGGGAATGAGGGCCAGAAAGTAGGACATCCATAAGACTTCAGCGCATGTGCAGACAGGCATTGACGACATGCCACAAATCCCTAGGGTTTACAGCGCATGTTAAGAATGCAGGCATAGCAACCATACCACTATATGTCCCACCGGTTTTCAGCGCATGACGAAGGGCAGGCATTGTACAAATTCCACGTTGTTCCAAATCGAACAGCTCCCGAATGAAACGTCGTTGTTCTCATCAGGAGAAACCACACCACCACTAAGCGCTTAAATCGTAAATGGCAACAACACATCTGAGTAACCTACAATTTAAAGACGACCGCCCGCGTTTCACGGACTGGACTTGACAGTTAACAGGATAATATTGCTGAGGTGGCTAAGAAAATGGAACTGGGCACACAGAGGACCAACGTTCTGGGCGGAAATAGTTCACATAGGACTGTGTGACAGCCGGAGAGGAATTATTGTGCAAGCCAAAACTGATGATCTTGGGCCTGAAAAAAAAGGTTTACCCTTCTACTAGTTTTCAAAAAGTACATCACATGGCAGAAGGTGCGAATGACCCCTTGCAGTTGTCGTTTTTGGGTAGGTATTTTTTCTTAACCGGAGGCCTTCCGCAAGCACCCTATGGCCAGGCAAACTTAAGGTAATGTAACAGGAAATCCATTTAAGGCTAAATAGAGCCGTATAAAACACCTGTGTCGATGGTCTTACAGAAGTACAAATCTCTCTCTGGTGTAGATAGTATGCAGATGTATTGTCATATATCATACATGATTAATTTTACGGTCATACTTAGGACTGCATGCAC